CGACCAGCATCGGAGTCGTTCCTCAATAACTCCGATCTGGAAGCTAGCATTTTACACGACAGAATGTGTGACCCACGAAGCATCGATTGAGGAGCTAGATGAGACGTATGTTCGCGGCTTAACGGCGTTGTTCCGGTGCTACGTTATCACGAAAGGGTGTATTCCATATATCTGAAATATTGTATGGATTCTTCACGTTTTCATGCTTATCTGCGCTCTCCTTTCAGCAAGTTCAAATTTTTCTTTCCAGGTCTTTCGCCATTTAGCTAAAGCGGCAATCATGGCTAGTGAAATCAAACCAGTGAGTCCTAATCCAGTGAAGCACCACAGTAAGCCCATTATACGCACCAATGGCTCAATAACAGCGGCAGCAATGGCAGCGCCAGCATTGCGGAAAGCATTAGCCAAGGCAACTTTTGTAGCTGGACGACCACCAGCACACTGGGTAAGGTAAGCAGTGCAAATCGTCAATACCCAAGTAGTTCCAAACCCCACAAAGAACAAAAACATAATGACTGTGGCAACATGAACTCGCAAATGGACCAACCACCCCCACGAAATTACCGCACACATTTGTAGAACTAACCCTGGCACCGTCAAAATAAGCCGCTTTTCGTGAAGGTGTTCTTGTCCTTTTTTAGCTTGAATCCGATCAGAGATTCTCCCCGAAGAGATTGATCCAATCATAAGGGAAGCTCCGGGACAAAGGTACAGTAATGATACTTGGAGGGTATTGAATCCATAGACGTCGCGTAAGACGAATGCGGTTTTGACCATCACCCCGTAAAATGAAGCAAATAATAAACCACTGATCAAAGCACAAATGAGAACAGGGGGGTAAGTAATTGCCCGAAGGAATTGCTTAGGAGGCTGGGGAGGTCGGTCAGTGAATGAGGCTGGATGGAATAACTCAATGCGATTGAGTAACTTGATGCGGATGCCATAACCGTTACCAACGATACTCCGGTTTGTCTCAGGTAACCACACAATGATTGAGATGTAAATGATACCCCCAGCAATGGCCAAAATACCAAAAACCCACCGCCAATTACCATTGGATGCCACCAATGATAAGATCGGACCAAGAATAGGACCCAGTTGAGGACCAAGCATGAAATACGCGATATACGTCCCTCTTAAGCGTGGCTCAATGATGTCGGCCATAGTGGCAGCACCGATGGACATCACTGCAGAAGCTCCAATCGATTGGAATACTCGAAGTACATAGAGCGTAGCCAATTTAGGTGGGAGAGATGCTAACAAAATCAGAGCAAGGACAAATATACCTAACAGAAGAAAATAGCTTGGTTTGCGTCCGTAGCGATCAGCAAAAACCCCCCACACAATGGGTGCAATCGCAAATACCCCCATAAATGCCGATACTGTGCCGTTGATAGCCACGGCAGAGGCGTTAAACACTGTTTGAAAGCGAGCTAATAGAGGCACGTAGATATTACCTGCAACTGGACCTAAAAAACCAGCAGCACACACCAAAATGATGATAACTACCCGTTGGTAGCCATCGATAACTGAATAGGGCGGGGGAGAAGACGGACGAGAAGGGGGCGGCAAATCATTTTTAGGAGGTCCAAGGGCAGAAGGAGATGAAGGAAAAAGCAGTTTCGGTGATGCTAATGGATCAGGAGATGAAGGAGTTGACGAAAGAGGAGATATATGCAAGAGAGCAGCTGGAGGGATCGACTTCGTACTTGATCTTTCTAAGGAGGCCATGTCACCTGAAGAGAACTGAGCCAACTAAGGCTACGTTGGCACTTTTATTACTTTTTCGGGTCGGGTTTCCTCCAGAGTATGTGGTCCAGTTTCTCTGCGCATTAAGTTACAGACAGGAGCAGGGCCCTGCGCCGTGCAACATAGCAAGTAGTTTTAGCAGGGTGCGTGAATTTAGTTTGATTTTAGGGAGCTATTGTTGAATTGACATGGTAACCGCAGCAGCAGTAGGCAATGGCGCAGGTGACCTCCAAAGAGTGCCGTGTCCGGAGGCCTGAGTACTTTCAATTACCATGTTGAGTACACCCTTGCAGGAGAACAATGCAAGAGATTGACTTTCGTGCAGGCGCTAGTTGCAACCGAACTTTTGTAACCAGCCACTAAAATTATCGTTGGGGAAGGTTTCTTTTTAGTTGTGGCTCGTGATAATAGTTAGATCAGAGGACCAACCACTTCTACAATGGCGCCATTATCGAAAAGGGGGAGGTATTACCCGCGTGGTAGGCATCATCGCATGGTGAATATCATCTCTTGTTTTAGTGGTAACGAGGTGAGCAAATTTCACCGCAGTGGGAGACACAATAGCCGGCTTTATTTTTCGCCAACCGTATTGCGTTAATCATAACGTTTGAGGCACCCGGAGTTTAGGTGACAGCCATTGCCGACGTCAAAGTTAAATATAGTGTAGGAAATCGTGAACGAGTTACCAAATCTATCTTTGGGCAAAACGTTCCAACAACCGCTTATTGACGTTACTTGACTTTATTTGGTAGGACATCGTTATCTGAGCAAATTCAACATCGTTGTAATGCACAGACACGGATATAATTTCCACTGGGGCGTAGCGGAGTCGGAAGCCGTACGATCGATGTGATGTATATAAACGCCATGATCCCAATAGTGGCAGTTATCATCCGTCTACCATGACTGTGTCCGAAAACCCTACTCTCGCGTCCGCTGCCAAGTCCGAGCTGAATGCGTTATTCCAACGTATCGTCTCTGTCTATGTTCGCGATGGTGACCGCGAAGTGATCTCCAAGCACTACCATGGCGTCCACGTGGAGTGGTCCCAAGTCGTCGATGCTGCTGACGAAACCCACAGCTTTGGTGGCTACAAGCGTTGCTTAACTGCCTCTCCCTTTGTCGCTTGGGAAGTGGAGCGTGACGATGGGTTGCGCCTCGGTGTGGTCACCAAAGGCGACGTCACTGACCCCTTCGACCTCTATTTCATCGGGTTGATGTTGTCGATTGCCTCTGTACCCACTGTTGCTTCAGTTGACGCCCAAACAGACGCTGTCGTTCGGAAGATTGCTGATCTCTATGAGGTTCAGCTCAAGAACACTGCTCCCGGTGACAAATGGGATGTCGGTCGGGCTTATTTCGAGCTGGTGGTGCGCCACTTTGTTGAACGGAATCTCCCGGTTGAAGCAGTGCTTCCTGCCTTCCCTTGCAAGTCGCTGAACCGGGATAAGGTTGCTGGCGGTTTACCCGATAAAGGTGAAGAGTTGGCGCTTGATCGCCTTGTTCAGTTCGTCAAGTCGGTTCGCGAGATATATACGCCTGGCATGAAGATCTGGATCGTGTCTGATGGACACGTATTTTCAGATTGCATTGGTGTTGACGATGAGGACGTGGACGTCTATTCTGAGGCGCTCAAAAATCTCTACCAGGAGATGGACGAAAGCGACGGGATTGGGTTCCGGTCGTTGGTGGACTTGTTTGACCCCGAAGAATTTGATGAATCGTTGGTGGATCAAGTGGAATTGCCCCACCACTTGAAGACGAACTTGGTGGCCAAGCTGGAATTGTGCCGCAAGATCTTGATGAAGCTGTGTGACCTGGACTGCGGCGAGTTGCAAAGAGATATTGATACCCCAGGCCACCCCCGCCTCGCGTTGTATCGCGGGTTCCTGAAGTTTATGACTGAAGACTTGGCCCAACACCCCAGTGTCACCGATCTCTCTCGCAAACAGTTCAAGAAGGTGGTGCTGAGAGTATCGTTTGAAATGATCAAACGCAACGATGCCTACTCCAATCTTGTGGAATTGATGTTCCCATTCCACCTCCGGTTGTCGATCCACTCTCACAACAACTCTGGTCCCAAATTCGCAGTACGGTTGTTGAAGGATTGCCTGGTGATCAGACTGATTGAAGACTTCAGACAGCCGGAAACGCTGGACCTCTTACACGTGCCCACCCCCTGGCACAATGCCATTGTCCAGTTTGAACACACCGAGAAATTCTACGTGGTGAAAAGCTGTCACGTCCATGAAGGTGTTGAACACGGGGTCGGGGTTGCCAGCTGGGAAGAAAAAGAACGCATGTTCCGTTTCAAGTTGACCTAGAATACCACTTAATTTTTGATTAGTTGTAAATTCAATTGTCTAGAGGTAATTATTTAATATCTTCTAGAATACCACTTAATTTTTGATTAGTTGTAAATTCAATTGTCTAGAGGTAATTATTTAATATCTTATTGTGCGTATAACCGACGTAAATACGAGACCCACAACAAAAAGCAATATACATGAAGAACTAGCGAAAGAGAACTAAGACTGATCAAATATAAAACGAAAAAGAAGACGTGCCGGCCCCAGGAATCGAACCTGGGTTTGTTCGGGGTTGTGTCGCCACAACGAACCGTACTAACCACTATACTAGACCGGCTTCACGAGAAAATTATAAATTCATGTGATGAGATCGAACAGACTAGAAGAGTACTGAAAAATTTGGCTAATCTTTAAGTACAGAGCAAAACCACCCAACCCGTGAGAGCACCTGATCCTAAAAGTTCCACACTTGACGCTTCACTTGTGTGCAGTCACTGCAAGCCTGGAAATTTTGTTGAAAACAATTTCAGCGTTCGACTCAAAATAGAAGTGCCGTCGGGATTCTCTTTTGATTGATGAAATTGCATCTCAGTCGAGTTATTCATCATCCAAATCACAATATCGCTTGGACCCAACAATGTACAACCCTAATATAGCGTTCTAAATTGAAAAATCGGCATTTGCTTGTGTGCATCCACAAACTTGGTACTTTAACAATATGAAATTTCACATTGCTGCCACTAATTGCTTTGCAAACCGCTTTAGTCATTTTCTGGTGCCATCTAGGTTCAGGCCTTGCCAAAACACTATCCAACCTATTGCCAAGCCTGAAATATCGGCTCATCCGTGGAATACCCCAGGTACCCACCGATAAAAAAGCAACGATAGATTTCACTTTAATATCAATAAAATCGTCAACTGACAACTTGATGATTTCACAATAAACCCTTATCACATGGGTTTCAGACTTACTATCGTGCGGTTTGTCGTCGTGTGGTGTCGCTGGGTCGCGGTGCGGTTTCCACGTCGTGCGAACTGGCTGTTGCTTTCACGACCACAAGCGGGCATGAAAGTGCTCTACCAGAAGCAGCCACGGGCGCTAGCACTTTCGGGCGACAGCCACGGGTTAGTGATCCGAGCAGTGGACAACGCCCGCGACTCCACTCAGCCAGTGGTAGTGGTGGACGTCGTCCCCAATTCCCAGATCACTAAGGACCAAGGGTGGAGGCCGCTTCTGAGACACGAGGTCTATGGCTGTTTGGGGCTTATCCAAGTCGAGGATGAGATCTTCATGGCCGTGGTTACCGGTGCCATAAAGGGAGTGGCTCTGCCTGTCCCCTATGAGACGGTGGACCGCATCTACCTGGTGGAGTTTGCCTGTGTCACCAACGATAAATGGGACTTTTGGGACATCGCCACCGGTGGTGCCACCACTGGGTCCAACAGTGCCAACGACGTCATCGACCACCCATGTTCTGATATGCAAAAGCTTTTGAGTAATGGTCTGTTCTACTTTTCCAATGACTTTGACTTGACACTGAGGCTTCAGACTCGGGGGATCGACAAGACAAAATTCCACCTGAAACTGGAACACCCTGCTAATTCTATGACCACAACGATGGCCCCTGATTTCATGTGGAACCATTTCATGATGAAGGAGCTTCTCAAGTTCCGCGGCAATATGGACGAAGACACTCAGCAAATTCTCAGTGATAACCGCTTCCTCACTCTGGCCATCAGAGGGTTTGCTAAGACCGTGAGACTGAGTGGGATCACCATGACCATCATCTCCAAGCAGCTGTGGCGTCGTGCCGGTACTCGGTTCAATGCTAGAGGTATTGACGATGCCGGTAACGTGGCCAACTTCGTCGAAACCGAATACATCATGGCCTCAGACCAGCTGATCTACTCCTACACACAAATCCGGGGGTCGGTACCCGCATTCTGGGAACAAGACTCGACGCTTATCAACCCCAAGATCACCGTGCATCGCAGTGTGGAGGCGTCCCAGGGGGCTTTCAACCTGCACTTTGAAAAGATCATCGATACCTACGGCATCTGTCATATCGTCAACCTCTTATCATTCACTAAGCTGGCGGAAGTTCAAGTGCTGGATCGATTCCGCAAACTCCTCAAGCACTGCCTGCTCTTCGACGAGCTTGAGTACACTGAGTGGGATTTCCACGCTGAAACCAAACAGCAAGGGTTTGCTGCTGCTACAAGAATCCTTCCGTTACTTAAACAGCTGATGAAACAGTTTGGCTGGTACGAATGGGATATCCATCTGGGTAAGACCATCACCAGTCAGGACGGGATTTTCCGTACTAACTGTCTTGATTGCTTAGATCGGACCAATTTGATCCAACAAGTGATCCTGTTAGCGGTGGTTGATGTCTTTTTGCGGGAGATGGGGCTGCGCCACAGTGCCCAAGAATTGCAACCGCGCCACAACAACTTGTGGGCCGACAATGGTGATGCTATCTCGATGATCTATACCGGGACCAACGCCTTGAAGCTGTCGTTTACTCGACTGGGGAAGATGAACCTCGCTGGTGCTCTTTCTGATGTCACCAAATCGGTACTGAGAATGTACCAAAACACGTTTGTTGATGGTAAGCGGCAGCAGACGATGGACACGATGTTGGGGGTGGATCGTAGCTCTCGCAAGGTGCGTATCTACGACCCCATGCTTGAGTTTGTCGCTGCCAAATTGGACGGCGTCCTGTCTCGCTTTACCTCATACCGTGACGTTAACATTTTCACTGGTACCTATAATTTGAATGGTAAAGAACCTGAAAGGGCCGACCTTCGAGCTTGGCTTTTTCCTCCCGAACAAGCAGGGGTGGAACCAGAGATCTACGGGATTGGGTTACAAGAAATCATTGAGCTTAACGCTGGTGTCGTCTTCAGCGGTGATAATGTCCGGGCGGCCAAATGGGCGCGGATTATCGGCGACCAGTTAGGTTCGAAGTACGTGTTGCTTCGTACGGAACTGATTGCGCTGATGGCGATTTTCTTATTTGTCAAACAGCTGGAAGTGGACCAAGTGACTCAAGTCGCCGGTGGCTCCAAGAAGACCGGTTTGGGCGGGATGACCGCTAATAAAGGTGGCTGTGCCGTCCGGTTCAAGTACGGGGCGACACTGTTTGCCCTCTTAACATCGCATTTAGCCGCCGGTACTGCGGCGACTTTGGAACGGTATAATGATTTCTTAACAATTTTCAAAGGTCTTCGTTTCACCCGCAACTATACCATCTCCGACCATGATCATATCCTTTGGTTTGGTGATCTTAACTACCGCATTGACTTACCTAATATCGAGTGTCGTGGGTTAGTGGACGTTGGCGCCTGGGATGAATTAATCAGAGAAGATCAGCTTTGTCGAGAAATGGCTCATAAGGGGGCGTTCTACGGGTTCCTGGAAGGGCAAATCAAGTTCTTCCCTACCTACAAGTTCGATAAGGGGACGAGCAACTACGATACTCTGGAGAAGCAGCGAGTACCATCGTGGACCGATAGAGTACTCTGGCTCTCCCCCAAAAAGTATGGCAAGAAGCATGACATTGAAAACACTTTCTACAATCTGGTGATGGATATCTTTATCAGTGACCACAAACCAGTGTATGGTGGTTTCAAAGTCCGCTGTGCGTTCATCGACGACAAGGTCAAACTGGAATTGCGCAAGAAATATACTTCCGAATGGAAGCTGTCGCATGCTCCTATCGGTGTGCAAGATTTGGTCGATTTCGGCGGTGCCTCCGACCTGGCCCTGGTCTCATCGCAATTCACTAACGATGCCCTAATGGACATGAACTTACCGATAAATTCTGCCACTACCAGTCCCGGACCGCCGCCGCCGCCGCCCCGTCAAGTGGGGCTGGCACCAGTGCGCAAGCTTCCTCCCGATTTGCTCTCGGTAACGCCGTTGTCGCCGGCTCGGTCGCCAGCACGCTCGCTGTCGCCGCTTGCCACTAATGCTCCCACTACCACCAACGCTTCTACCAATACCGACACTGCCAACCCGCCGCCGCCACCTCCGCGTCGCCTTCCCCCTGCGGGCAGTGCTATCCTCTTTAACAGTGCCCCACTTGTGCCGGCGAACTCGTCGCTGCCGTCTCCGAGACCACAAACCCCTACCGCTACCAATACTGCTAGTGACAAGGCTACTACTGCTGCTACTGGTAGTCCCAAGGTAGTATCGCCTCAGGAACCGGCCAAGGTGTCACCCAAGGCGCCGTTGAAGCCCAAGAAGCCCGACGCTCTTCATGGCGATAAGCTCCACAAGGAAGCTGAACCAACCGAGCAACCGGCGCTGACTAACGGCAACAAGACCCAGGCGCCGCCGCCGCCAGCTCCGCGCAACGCCGCACCACAGAAGACCATGCTGGACTGGCAACCTTTAGTGCCAAAGTAACCTAATTTTTAGAGGTAATTTTTTGGCTCATTACGTCGTATTTCGTTTATATCATGCAAATAACCCCCAAGAACCCCATAACCGTCCACACCGCAGCCATGCTCACCGCTCGAGTGGCTCCCACAGTGCCACTATTGCCACTACCCTCACCACGGCTACTCAGCAGTTCCGCTGGGTTAGTGTTCACTGTACTGACACCCAGCCCTGTGGCGTAGTAGCCAGTGATGATGTAGGCACCATCGCTGACAAGCGCCCCCAGGAACCGTGCTGGCACTTGCAGAGCATCAATGACGAGCGAGTTCACCTGAGAGTAAGTGAACACGTACGAGGTATCGGTGGTCACCAGCTCGGCGTAGGGGATGAACCCGTTCTCAATGTAGGCGGCTGAGGCAGCCGTACGTGTAGTGCTTGATTTGCTTAGAGAAGATGAAGGAGTGGCGGCACGAGCGTTGGCGTTATCAGGAGCCGTAGCGTTATCGGTACTGTTACCTCTGGCAGCAGCATCATCAGCCACACGCGCGGGGTTATCGTCTTCAGTGGCTTCCTGGCGCTGAGCGAGGGCGACGTGGCCGGCCTCATTGTCCATCACCATGTACACGTGCTCGAGGAAGGGTAAGCCGAGAGAAGCGGCGCCGTTGCGGTCCAGTGACAACACGAGAAGGGTACACGCGCTCTGGTCGTCCTGGAATTTAAGCTGCTTGCCGCCAAAGATGGCGTTTTCAATCAAATTTTCAAGGGGCATCGTGATCTCCAAGTCGTTAAACTTGAAGCGAATACGCGCCTGGGCGTTTCTGATCGCCTCGCAACCAACAAGCCAGCGGCTGACGTCGGCCAGGTAGTAGGCGTTGGTCTGGATGGCTAAATCGATGAGAATCAGGTTGGGTAAAAATGAGAAGATCAGCCGCAGACTTAACGCCACGGGGAAGGGGGCGACGTTGGTGTTGGAGATGAACAGCACCAGGCCGTCTTTGGGGTTGAGGAGCTCCAAGTTGTCCAACACGACGATGGGGAGGTTCAAATTACCCACCACAGAATTATCGTAGTTTTGCTCTTGAGGGTAGCGGAAACCCTTGTGACCGACAACAGGAAACAGGTACAAAGTGCCCACGTACCGCAGTGGGTCCACCACCCCGGGAATGATATAACCGTATTTTTGAGTGGTAACATTGACATTATAACGCGTAGTGTTGCCAAACCACAACAGATAACCTGGCAGTTTAATAAAGCGCAGTTGTTGTAATGATGTTAAAAGCCCCAGGCCTCTGGGGTTAGTAGCGAGGCCAAACCCTCCGTATAGTAGTGACAGTTCTTTCACATCAATAAAAGTAAAATTCAGCCACCGAGCCACCAGTCCATTAGTGAAATTGATCCCCACCTTATCGGTAGCCCACACCCCCAGCGCATTAGTAGAGGCGATGTAGGGGACGTTAACCGCAGCACCATTAGTCTGAGCCACTAACGGCGACGCCATCAGTGCTGGCGGCTGGTATCCAGGCTGATCAAGACACGCCCCAGCAGTATACAACGCCTCGGTGGTGACGGTTTCTGGGATCAGCAGCGGGTACTGAGAGTCGACCGAACTCCACCAGTTCTGGACATCGGAGCAGTGCGGGAACAGGCGCTCGTCCATCACCCAGAGCTCGGGCTGGTTGATGTCTAAACGGACTTCAAACGGACGGCCGCCAACGTCAACACCGACGTTATAGTAGTCATCATCGTCGCCATGGAAACTGATCAGTAACGGGTTATCGACAAATGCCGTGGACGTAGAATCCAGTAATGCAAATGGCACAATCGCCGATAGTAGCGTGATAAGTGGCGCTATAAACATACTGCCAGGTTTGACCGAATGACAGCAGTGGTGATATGGGATAGACGCCGATGAGGAGGTGAGAATAAGTGCCCTGCGATCGCGCCCGATCGTGGTATTCGCGCCGAGAGCCACAGCCCCAGGGTTCAAGATAGCTGGCGAAGAGGGGAAGTACAGAGGCAGAGTAGGGCTATGAGAGGTGTAATTTGATGGTGCTGATTGGTAGTGCATAGCTTGTCATCCGTGTCATTTCTCTTACCCTTACCACCTTGGAGAGTTCAATTTTTATAGGAGTTTTGCACTGGTTACTTAAAATAGCCTGGCCCTACCATAATTTGCGCCACGCATTGAGGGCAGTCGGTCAGTACGAAAAGGGGAATGGTTACTTAGTAGACCGTTGTGACTAAACTTAAGTGTAATTCATTCAAGGCGAGGTGATGGATAAACTCAATGGACACAAGGAAACACTCCCAAACGACTATGATAGAATGAACGTAAATTGTGGTTCTAGATGTTGTCACGTTTCTTGGAGTTAAACTCTAGTTGTGACCGATTGATAATCAAGAGGGCTTAAACACAATTCATACCACACAAACAGTAATTCATAAATAGGAAAGCTAACCCTCCTTAATCATCATTATCCTCGATCCTACCATCCTCTCCAACTGTGTCTCCTTGGTGTTGCTGGGTTCGCACGCAAAAAAAATTCACTGCGGGAGCCGACGCCAAACCCACAAATGGTAAGTGAAACCAGCGTCTGAAACGGTGGCAAACCACCGCCATTCACCCTTCATTGCGACCGTTACTAACATCCAGTTACCGTTATACTTGCTAACGTCGGCCAAGACGAAGCCGATCATGGTCGAGCTCAAGAACGGCGAGACCTACAACGGCGAGTTGATCAACTGCGACTCGTGGATGAACTTGACGTTGAAACAGGTCGTCCAGCTGCTGGCCCACGGCGACAAGTTCTGCCAGTTGCCCGAGGTGTACATCAGAGGCATTCACATCAAGTATCTCCGGTTACCAGAGGAGATCATGGACATGGCCAAGGAACAGAACTTGATCAACATGGAACAGCGCAACCGCAACAACAAGCGCCGTGGGTTTAACAATGGTGGCAACCAAGGCCACAACCGTCGCTACAACCAGCAGGGTGGTCGTGGCGGCTACAATAACCGTCGTTACAACCAACAAGGCCAAGGCCACCACCAAGGCGGCCACCACGGTCAAGGCCACCACGGTCAGCAAGGCCACGGCCAACACAACCACTCCCACAGCCACAGCCAGGGCCACCAACAGCACCAGCAGGTCTAAGAATGTATTATTAATCACGAGATACGAAATACAAAAAAAAAAGGGAAAAAAGTGTATTATAGTCAAAAAGTAAAAGTTGTCGTAGAAAAATTAGAGTGTCATCTCGCCTCCTGGGCGGGGGCAGCCACCTGCCACAGCTTCAAGTTGTCGCGGAGCTTCGTCTCGGAGATGAGCCCGTTCATGTTGCGGTAGCTGCTGTGGTCGTCGTCAGTGGTGTAATCGTCGTACTCCTTGATGTGATCGTCGGGGTCTTTGCCGTCAAAGATGTCCTTCACTGTCTTTTCAGGATTGTAGTTGAGCAACGGTTTGAGGGCAGGGTCCCAGGTGCTTTCCAATACCCGGTTGTATAAGTGCAGCACGATGGGGTCCATAGTAAGCACGTTATCCGACCCCACTTGCGTCAGCGGCAGTGTTTGCGATAACGCCGGCTGGGCCTGGGTCTGGCTGTTACCCTGATCCTTGTGTCCCTTGAGGATATTGGGGATATTGTGTGACGACAGCTTATTGCTAGTTTCAGAAGCATTATCAATGGAGTTGTCCAGTTGTTTCAGCGACAGCGGCAGTCCCGGGGCGATGACGTTATCAAGACCGCCAAACACGTGTTTGCGGTCGAATTGTGGAAGATTATACTGAGTATTGCGATGAGTGACGCCTCTACCGTTAGTGGCGAGGGGCAGCGTCACTTGTTGGCGGTTCTCCGTCACCGTCAACGCGGTGTGGAACTCTTGAGCGGGGTCAAGCTCCTTAAACTGGACGGAAAGCGACAAGATCGAGTTAACTTTCAGCTCTTTAAGCAAGTATTTCGACGTTTGCGGTCCTTCAAAGTTCAAATACTCCGTCAAGTTGACGTCGAGCTTACCAATCACCGTAGAGTCCAGCGAGTCGTGGTGGGGCACGTAGAACACGCGCAACTGCAAGTACTTGTTGCCCAACATGTTCAGCGACCGGTTGTACTTGAACTTCAAGTTGCAGTTGATATTCTCGTGGAAGGCCACCCGGAAGTTGTGGATCTTCTTCTTTGAAGTTACCACATGGATATGGGACCCGTGGACACTCGACGAGCCTTGGTCCTTGGTGAAATGGGTGCCTCTTGAAGTGGCGTGGAGCCAGCTGCGGTACAGCGTCGAGTCGTGGATGTATAACTCGATGTAGCAGTACCCGGAGATCTGGGGGATGTTCAGGAGCTCGTTGAACACGAGGTCCAAGTTGAAACGGGGCTTCTTCGTCTGGAACATCGCGCCCGTTGTGTGTGTGCCAATCGGGGGTGGGTTGGGCGGTACAAGCGGTGGTTTTCGGAGCAGACGCACCGAAGGGTCGACCTGACCGCAAACGTAGATGAGTGCGGAAATTTGCCCCTCCGCGGACTGCCGGGGCCGAGGCAATTACTGATGGAAAATGGCATGAAAATTTGAGTAGAATTTGAATGAAATTGTTGAAGAGGTAAAGTCTGAAGATGTATGAAATGTGGGGGTGGTCTTGGCTTACAGCTAGATTTTCCAGGTACGTGACGGACTTACTTTTTTTTTTTTTTCGCTATGGATGAAAAAGATAGGAGAGGGACTGGCTCACGTGCCCTCGTGACGACATCCCCCACAGTTACTTTGATAGGATGACGGGTGCCTGAAACGTTGCCATCTGTCGCCGTCCGCTTTAAGTAATACATCTGTTGCCAGTGGTAGTGGGCTGTGTCTGGCTGGTCGTTCGCCGTACTCTGCATGCCCTCAATTTGACGTCAACGGTGGCAGGTGGCGACGCACCGAAATTACATCACCCCGGTTAGGGAGACGACCCTCGCCGCGACTTTGAACCTCTCTGAAGTCTGTTTAAGTCCAGTCCTTGGTGCCATTTCGCTTTTATGTGGCACACGTCATTTCGGAGCCATTTCCCCGTATTTAAAGTTTAACGCTTTCATTTAAGGTGCATTACCGATAGGCACAATATGATAGACAACACGAGGTTCGCCGTTCCCGTCCCAAGAAAAAGAGACGCGACCCCAGGCAGGTGGCGCGCCGCCTGCAGTACCCGGGGACGGGGGGCCCCTTCTCCACACTGCTAAACCGCAATTTAGACTGGCTACGCCAACCTTAAATTTGCTGGGCCCTATTGTTCCGCCTCAATCGAGCCCCCTCACCGCCATATTTATCACTCCCCTCGCGTGGCTTGCAGCCATGTTCTCCTGCACACAGTCACGAACACCAGGTGCGACGGGAAAAAATAAACGAAAAAAGGGCGTCGTGTTTGACCACCCTTCGCCGTCTACTTTTGTCAACAGGTCGCAACCGTCTCGTGGACTGCCCTTGCCAGGAAACACCACCTCAAAAATAGCCTAGGCTGAGCCTGTGTATACCGTGCTGCTACTAGCAATCCCTCCCCACCTTGTCCGCAAGTCCTCGCGTGCCGCCCCCTGGCACTGTCCCCACCATGATGACCGCCGCCCCCATTGACATCGAGCACGAGTTGCTGCGCCCGTTCCAGCGACTTCTGCTTGCCATCCCCATCGACCTGAAGCGGTACGTGATTATGTGTCGTTTCCTCTCCATCGTGCTCAACCTCGACGACACGGTGTTGGACGAGCAGGGCGTGCCTCACCCCGAGGTCGCAGCCCGGCCGCCGGTGGAGCTTTTACCCAATATCGCGTTCCCTCCCGATATCTGGCTCCGTGACGATATCAATATCAAAGATGTTAAGGTGAAAACAACAATGCTTGTGGAGATTAACCAGTGGCTCGAGCAGGAGCTCGTGGGCACCGCCACCGACATGAGCGAGGAACAGACGCTCCTGTACTACGAAAAGTTGTTGCAAGCCTACAACTTCTACGACATGCCGTCGCGGCGGTCGCTGCTGATGCTGCTTTACTCGGCGGAGCTGGTTCTCCACGAGAAAGAGCACGAAAACGACTCGGCGGCCCCCGCTGCCCAGGAAGTGACGCCGCCAGCGACGCCGTCACCAGGTAAGACGCTGCGACTGGCGCTGCAAAAGCTGCTGGCGTCGCCCATCCACACCACCAACAACCCGAAGCGAGTGCTGGCACTTTCGCGCGAGATCATCAACTCCCGCAAACGCTTCCTGACCCTCCTAGGCCACCAGAGCCTGGCGCCTTCGCTGGTACCGTCGTCGTCAGCATCACCGTCGCTGGCAGCACTGGACGCCACTGTGGTCGACGACGATAAGCTCAATAACTTACTTTCAAAGACTAAGATCTACTCCAAATTGAAGAAGAACCGCGAGCTGGCACTGCTGATCAGCTCCACCACCCTGGGCGGGTACCTGAACCGCAACCTGGTCGCCACCACCGCCAGCGGGGCGTCGCTGCATGGACTGCGGCGACGGCTGCTGGTACTTCTGTCGCTCGACGACCACCGGTTGGTCGCGGGGCACGCGGTGCACCTTCTGGCAGAACAGAAGCGCGAGAACCGCAAACAGAAGTTTGAATACTATCTCCAGCTTATGAAGCTTTATCAAATTACCGAGACAATTCTCAAGACGCTTTCGGAGACGAAGGACCCCAAGATGAGTAATACCAAGTTGGTGCGGTTCCTCGAATTCTTGAAGAAGAAAGTGTTCCGTTTTGTCATCGTCGATATCAGTCTGATGATCATGGACTACGCTATGGTGAAGTCGCTGAACTTGCTCTACTCGCCTTAATACACTCGCTAATACACTAATATCCCCTTCTACCTATTATATTGTAGTATCCGTCTTGGATCATTAACTAAGTATAGGCCACGTATAGTGAGGGCCTCATTTTTCAACTATCTGAGGCTTTGTTTCAATTGTGGTAGATTCCGGAATTGATCAAAGTACTCAGAATATGGGCTCAGTAAACAGGTCTAATCATAGCACTGTAGTTCCAGCTTACTTGCAGGTGGAAAGCATCTGGCTGATCACCGACAACAACTGGTTATTCTCACAAGCAGCAGCCACCCGTTCCTTATCGTTCAACTGTTTGTTCACCTGGTTCTCCAGTTGATGAGTGCCTTCCTTAATAAGAATACGGATTCTGAACCGAGGTGGCAAGCACCGTTCGAGCCGGACTCTGATGCCAAGACCAATTAACGTCGCCAACGAGCAGTGGGTGATGGTGGGAGTAATCTTAATAAGCACTTCGGAAATGGTACCGTGGGTAACCTTGATATCCTGGAGGTTGACCACAGCTAACTGAGCTAACGAAAGCGGGTGTTCAGGGTCAGAGATCAGCAGGATCAAGTCGAAGATTTCCTGTTCGTCAATAGTCTCTTTAGCGTCGTCACCGTCACTATCGCTATCGTCATCGCTGAGACCAGGGGCAGTGAGGGGGGCATCGAGAGACCCGTTCACGGGGCCAAGCGTCAACTGGGCCATGTTCTTCAAAAACTGCTGGTTGCGGTGCTCAACACCTTTATCGTCATGAGTGGCTAATCGTGTGGGGAGCTCCGACACGTCGAAGACGGTGGGGTTTGCGTTGATCGCTTCAGCCATGGAGTGGGAGTGATTTGTAAGATTCGCACCGATAACGGAGGTGATATCTAAGTAGAGTAGGTCACATGCACCTCTTACTCCACAAATAGTCTCAAATAACTCGAATTAAATTGTCATTAGCCACAAGTATAACTTGTAAATTACATCAAATCAAAACTTTATCGAGTATCAAACCATTTGTCGTGCCAATACGGTAAGTCGCAAGATAAAATCAGATGAAGATAAAATATATGAATGGAATATTTAGAGGAATACTTTCATAAATACTCGAATTACAAACTAGATTTTTGAGATTAGTAAAATTAACGGTAATGGAGTAATTTATCTTTTTGGTGTCTGTGCCATTGTCTTATCGGATCAAGTCGCACTGTGTCCGTGTTAGCGCCGCTTATGGACCGATACCCGCAACGGCTTTTGCAAAGGCTAGCGCCTTTGATCAAGATATATTTGGACCCAAGCCTTCCGGAACCATTCAAAACATCCATTGTCACCACTGCCGAGCACAGCAATGTCGACAACCGTGTGTGGAGTCACGACGGCGTGATCGTGTCGTTTGTGGACGACCTCAACCAGCCAGATCTCGAGACAGCGTCAGCTTCTCCTTTGGATCCTGATCTGGACTTGTTTCCCAACGGCATATTGCTGGAGAAATGGCTTGAAAAGTACTGCAACGCCATCCCTATGGTGTTTCTCCTCGCAGTACATTTTACCTCCGACCACGACGAAATCTGGTGGGCCGACCATCTCCTCGCTCTCCGCAAGCAATTGGTGGAGTTGGGGTCGCAGATTGTTGTTATGGTGTGTTCGGGAGACGGCAGGGAGGCTGAGGATCGTCAACGGCTCCAAGTACTTCAGAGCCTCACCCACCTCCCCGATGACGCTGTCTTCTTTGTCCCCAGTGCCACCGCCGTGCCTAAAGTAATGAGAGTGATCAATTCGTGTTTCCCTCAATGGGCTCTGTCATTCTACGGGAAGAAATTGGCGAAAGTGCAAAATCGCAACAGCAAGTTTTACAATATGAAAACCAACGAGTTCGACACCGAGATTGTTCTTACACCCAAGTTTCTTGAAACACGTAACCTTTTCAAACAAGGTATCTTGGCTCAATACTACATGACCCCCAAATGGTCGTTGGCCATCAAACACCTTGAGAACGGATACAACACGCTTGTGGAAATTATATCCGAGTGTTTTGCCGGTAAATTTGCTGCTGACTATCCGTTGACCAGCCACGATATTATTGTCTACGCACTGTTTCGACGGCTTCTAGACATAGCCGCCTTCCACATCTTTAGAGGCTATCTTGCTGTCGGCAACCCTGAAACTGCGCTCAAGAAGCATGCCGTGCACATCAAGATTTGCAACGACATCACCCGCTCCCAATATGGCGATAACGTGACGCTGGCGACGCGACAGTGCCAATATTGGACAGCCACTCAGTATGAGCTCTTAGCTGACTATTTGGTGGAGGCAGGGGCTATTGGCCTCTTGAAAGGTGACGATAATCTTGTCCCGTTCTATGGAGGTATGCGCTATGCTCTCGACTCTACTACCCAGATGGATGTGTTCACCGACCCTGTATTTGCTTATCTTCACGCCTATAATCTTGTGGCCCAGCTTCTGCTTGATGGCATCGAAGTTAGAGATTATATGGTCGGTTATGAGACTGACATTGAGGAGTACCGGCGCCGGCTTTTGACGAAAGCAATTGAGAGTGCTTCGAGGGACTCGTTCAAGAAGCAAATAGACCCCAGAGGGACAACATTGCTGTATCTCCACTGGCTTTTAGCCAACCACACCTCAGCCAAGACCAAGGCTCAGGATCTCTACCGCAAGTCAATTGCTTATGTTGATGATAATAGCGATCTCGCAGGGCTTATGCGAGAAAAGCTTGTGGTCAATGAAAGTGGGGCCAAGAAAATCGTGGAATTGCTTAAGCTTCCGGGCACAAGAGGTGGCCACGGCACTCCGTTGAGTGTGAACATTTCTGAAGCGACAAAAGTCGCGGTCAGTCCAGTCGACTTGGTTAAGGTGGACGTGGACATTGTCAACCAGTCTCTAGCTCACCACACGTTCATGTACGATACTTGTGTGATCCAGATTACCCTCACTCCTAATGTTGATTTGCAATACCTTCAGCTGGTAGTGAATGTACCTGTTCTGCTTGTGGTGAACCATGTGACTGCAGAATACACTGGTGGTGAAATACTTGTGAAAAATGACGCCTCGGCTACCCAAACTCTCCCACAAATCGTGGAAAACGGAACCGCTAATCTTCTGCTTCTGGGTAAAGATTCTGTGGTGCTTCACTACGTGTTTTGTCCGGAGAAACTGGGCACTTTCAAAGTCACCTCCGTAGCCACCGACGCTACTCTCACATTGGGACAAGCGGTGGTCACCTCCAATCAGAACATTGGCGATTTCAACAAACACCAATCATACCTGAAGTTTTACGGCAAAGATGGCGTCAAAAACGTGCGTACGTCTGATGCTAACTGGTCACAAATTACTGTCAAACCGCTACAACCTAAGATTACCATAGATGCTGTGAATAAAGACATTGGTGATATAGTGATCGGTGAAACGGTTAACCTCGATTTCAAGATCAACTTCCAGCACCCCAGCACCCATAAGTTTGAAGGCTCAGTTCTATTGGCTCCTCGCATTGCTGTGACGCTGGAGCACGAATTTGATAAGGATTTGAGAATCCGAGTATACTGGGAAGGGCACAAAGATGATGAGCTGCTTGACCTTAGCGAGTCAATCGCTGGTGACGGTTCGATTGAATTGGTCCGTAAGTTGTTCGTTCAAGTGCAAAACCCTGTAACACGTATTGCTACTCCTACTGATGCTACGGTGCAAATCCAGATCTCCTCAGAAATCAGTGTGGAGGGTATTACGCTGGAGCACGACCTTGCCTCATACGAAATGCCCTTGATACCCCTGTTTGCGCATGAAATCAAATACAGCATTGTTCCTCGATATGGCGAAGATGATGAAACTTATATGCCGTCATCATTTATCATCAACGACGACACTACGCAACTAGGGCTCCCACTTGTTTCTCGATTATGGCAAGCTCGACTTCAAGTTACCCCCGTTGATGATGTCGAGATTGTTAAAACTACCTTTGATATTCGACAATCAAATAATGAGATCTCGCTTGAAATCGTTGGAGAAACCAAAGGTTTAACTCAGGACTTCACCACCACATCAAAAACAGGGTTTAGCCATCGCACGGTCCTGGTGTTCACCACTGCCAAAGTGTTCTGGAGGAAGAAGGGCAGAGAAATCGTCAACGAACACACCACGCGAGAGTGGGAGGTGAACTTACCCATGCTGGATCCTCGGGTACTTCTCAGCACAAAGAGAGATGGAGAAAATGCTCACCTTCGCTACGTGCTTGAAAATCCTACCCCTCGTGTATTCACTTTCACGACCACTATGGACACCAAGAATTATGATTTCAGCGACCCCCGCAATATTGTCCCGTCAAAGCAACCTCCATTCCCGGTGATGCCATTTTCTCGCCACGTTATGGACTGGTATGTTAAAGGTAGCGGCGATTTACCTGAGCTTAAAACGTTTGACGTTAATTACAAGGTGCTTTTGACGACTCTCGTTGTGGATTAGACGAACTTTATACTAAAGCCAAACAGGCTCATTATCCAATTCTAGTAACCTAGTGACCATTGCCTAAGCATCGGTTTCAATAGATTGCATGTATAACTAGAAGTAGGTGAAGAATTTCAGCCAATCACACACAGGTGTAGTTGTCTTTCTCCAGGTAACAAGCGTTCGAGGAATACCAAATGGTATTAGATTACTCGATTCAACTACAAGTCTATTACGCTTGGATAGTGCATCGAAGAACCCTTAAATTCAAATACTACGAATAATAACCGCTTCAAAGCTTTCTTGGTACTAATCCGCTGATATTACCATAATTGGTAGAAGCAGCAATTGTCGTAAATGTGTCCCACCCAGTGTATCGCAGGACCGCTAAACCCACAAGTGCAGTGGCCCCAGGCACTGTCAACCTTCGAATTAATGCCCTTCAGGAACACTGGCTCATCAAAAAAGAAATGAGTATACAAGTGCTTTCTGAAGTCAATGATGTTGTCGTACACATGATCTGCTGTGGGGCACTCGAACCACCCACAAGAGTATGGTCTGGGGATTTGTTCAAGAATAGTGACCGTGACGAGTCGGTCGATCTGGTGGTCGTTAGCCATGCTGTCGAAAAATAATGGAGATGGTATGAGGATTAGGAGTGACCAAGGTCAAAAGTCTAAATGGTCACGAATTTGCTTCCAATTGCCAGTTAAGTTCTCAAACGGAGTTGAGCTGGTAGTGTACGGCTGGAACTAATCTGGACTCCCTCTCTCAATCGCGTGCCCCTCGCCCATTATATTGTCTACTATACCCTAGATGTGAGCCGCTTCTCCATAATAGAGCTCCATATATCGTAGCACCTCCATTGAGTGAACGCGCAGGCTTGGTTTATGATTTGCGTTGTCTTATTTTTCAATCGTGGTATACACGACGTTTCAAGTCGAACTACATTTTCAGAAATTTTTGATAAATCCTAGAAAGGTGTGAATCGGATTGTATAATTGGACTAACGATTCATCCTCACTTCGGAGGTTGATTGCAATTAGATTTTCAGAGTATCGCTGATCGTCGTATTGAGATCGTAATTAGATGCAAGAGGATGGAAGCAAAAGGGCGGCTAAGAGAAACATTGGCAATGGCTGAGAGCGAATGTTTATCGCCGTCGTTCATAGTTTATGTCGACGATTGATTGCTATATATTGGTGGTCACCCTCAAGTTATTACCATCGAATTTTGTCTAAGGCTAACATCTAAGGCTAACAATATAATTAAGCGGCCTTCTTTAATTTCATAATGCCCGACGACTTTCACTCAGCCAGCTTGCGTGATTTTCCACCAAACCAAACATTCCTTGGGCTTTGGCATGATAAGGAGCAGCAACTGCTTGAACCCTACCACTCACACCACGTGAAAGATCTTTTTGAGATTGATTCCGACCTGACTAGAATGGGTAAGCTTGCATCAAACGATGGTGGAAATCAATCTCATGTAGGCATATATGAACCACTGGTCCTTGAAGAATTGTAAGCTGGACCCTTATCAGCAAGCTCCCATTTACATCGAGGTTCTTTCGCGATGGATTGGACCAGACTCGGGAAGGACAACATTAGTAAGTTGGACTCGGGACTCCCAGTCCAAATTGATGATTCCACAGTTTCAAAACAATGGCTTGAAGGGGGTGGTGGTGGGTTTGATCTACTTGTGGTGGTGGGTGAGGTCTTTTTTGCTGGTAATTTCAACAATGGATATCTCCTGTGGCATATGGCAACCGAAGGGGGAAATTTTAGCCGGTAATAGACGAGCCGTTTCAGTGATAAGGCCACGGTTGAGGAGCCCTGTGTGCGGATCGGTACTGGTTTACGTCGCGCATAACGGTTCTAAATAAGCCAAGACATGTCAATGTCAAGCGGTGCGCATTGACATAAACCCGTTTAACACGACATCACGACCTTACCAATGCAATCAATTGCACGAGTCAGTAAATACGAGGTTAGCGATGTTCGATAGATGTTTAGTTGTCGTTTACGACGCTAGTGCCACACGAGCGTGCGGCTGCCTGGCCACAGGCTCGAAAACAATGGGTGCAAAAATAAAGCGGGCGTCGGCCACAAGACGCAGGGCCGCCACACTGCGACGCTATCTTCTCCACAATGGAGCGGGCTCGATAGAGCAGGGGAGAATGTTAGAGCCAATTGAAGCTAAGGCACTGAAGAAATCAATTATAAAAGGCGATGGTCCGGTCGTCTTTCATCTTCATTAACAACTCACTCCCACAATGGTTCACATTGCCTACCCCTTCTTGATCTCGCTCGCTGCCGCGTTGGTGGTGAGAGACAAAGCTCCCCAGCCTCTTTCGTTCACCTTGAACAAGAAATCGCAACCCAAGTTGGTGCACCCTCACCACCCTCTTGGCAAATCTGACCCTACGGCGAACGACAGCAAGGTAGAGTCGAACCTGTCGGACCAGGACGTCAAGATCTTCGCCGATGGTGACACCTACTTGATTGACTTGGGGGTCATTGACGAAAACCAAAAGTTGCAAGTGGTGTTGGACACTGGTTCTGCCGACTTGTGGGTTGACGCTAAGCAATTGAAGGACACCAAGGGCTTCACCAAGAACGGCCAGTCTTTCGGCATTGCCTACGGTGACCGGCTGACCGTCCGGGGTAGCTTTGGCACCTCGTCGGTGTGGCTTGACAACGGTGTCGAAGTCAAGGACTTGCAATGGGCGTTGGCCACTGACGTCAGATTGACCTCTGGCTATATCCCAGGGATCCTTGGTGTTGGCAAGGAGATTAACGAAGCCGGCTACTACCTGACCCACAAGACGTACCCCAACTTCACCCAAAAGTTGAAGGACGAAGGCTACATCAAGTCCAACTCGTACTCGTACTACTTGAACAAGCTTGGCACTGCCACTGGTACCGTTACCTTCGGTGGTCGTGATCTTGCCAAGGTGAAGGGTCCTGTGGCCACCATCACCCCCAGTACCAGTGACGACGACGCCCGCTTTGACTCCATCACGGTCTCGAAGATCTCCACTTCTGACGGAAACTCTGCTGGCTCCGTTGAGGCCATCTTGGACACCGGTACCACCTTGACCTTCCTCCCCTACGACACTGTCAACGCGTTAAGCGTGCCTGGTGTCTACGCCGACTGGTCTGGCACCTTCTACATCGAGTCCAACCCTCCTTCGGACAAGTACGTGTCGTACTGGTTCAACGACACCGAAATCAAGGTGTCGTACGCCGACTTGGCCATCCCCGAGACCGACGACAACGGCAACCCTACTGGCCGTTTCATCTTCGGTATCCAAGGCTCCAGCGGTGGCACTTACATCCTCGGTGACACCTTCTTGCGCAGTGCTTACATCACCGTCAACCACGACACTAACCAAGTGTTGATCTCTGACGTCAACTACACTGACGCCGAAAACATTGTCTCGATCTAGATGTTGACTAGTTCTTTAGATAAGAATTCTATGTTTGTCGCCTACCATCTTGTAGCCTTAATCTCGAAATTTGGTATCCTCTGCTCTTGCGACTCCCACTAATGCAACTTCTACAATCATGTTGACATGATAATTAATGATAAGCCAACGTTGCTCCATCGTTGGGCAAATACGAAAACATTCTGACAATAGTCGTCTGCATATGTCACTTTGATTTACTTTCGAGAGCCAAATGTCAATTAATCCCAGTTTGCAGCGAAAATTATAATATTTAGCACAGTTGACTGAACTTATAGCTTACAAATTTTCTCGGACCACGTCGTCGGGCTCCCCTAGTTCTTTCGAAGAAAAGTCAAACTTCCGTGTAATTTTTTCACCTCTCTGGTTCCCTTCAAAATTCCCCACTTTGATGGTGGGGTCGCACAGCCGCGTTTCACTGGCAAACAGCAAAACAACGACACCATGTCATGATTAGTCGGATACAATTGAGACATCTCGTCAAGCAGCGCCAGGTTCTACTGCGTGGTGGATGGCAGATACACCTGCTACGGTTATTTCTGCAGTCGCCAAAACGAAACTTCAATGAGATCATCGGCCAGGTGATGGAAGACCAGAAGGATGGCGACGATGATAAAAAGTCGCTGGGGCGCAAAGGTGCGTGGCGTGATGGGTTTGTCAAGTGTCTAGAGACGATGGGGATCACGTTTGGATCAATTGCAGTGTTGGCAGTGGCGGGTTTGGCCTACCACGAAGCTTATAAACACCATGTCCTCTCAAAGATGAATGCAGCGTTTGAAGCCGGTGACCCTGCTGCCAATCTCAAAATCCATAACAAGACTGATGGCAATGACAGTGAGCATTGGGTGTGTCGTGAGCAGCAACCGCAGATCGACCGCATCATTGCCGGCGATATTACTGGTCGTTATTTCTTGATTGTGGGCGAGAAGGGGACAGGGAAAACCTCCCTTATCCTTGAAGCGATGCGTAAAGTGGGCGGTCTGAATGTGACGATGCTTGATGCCCATTCTGACCCGGAAATCTTCCGTATCCGTCTCGGTAAAGCGTTGAACTTCTCGTTCTACGAAGACTACATTGGGTCTCTCTTTTCGATGAGAGGACCCCGTGATACCACCGCACTACTCGATATTGAGAGAGCATTTTCTAAGTTGGAAGAATTAGCATTGGCTCGATCTCGCAAGGGAAAGACACCACTCGTGTTGATTATCAACAATTGCCATTTGATTAGAAACGACGAAGAAGGGGAAAAGCTTTTGGAGCTTCTTCAACAAAAGGCAGAAAGTCTTTCGGGTCTGCAACTCTGTACGATGGTATTCAACTCTGATGACTACTGGGTGTACGAAAAGCTTAAGAAACTTGGAACGCGTCTCGAGTTGATCAACGTTAAGGACTTTAACCGTGATCAGACGGTATCGGCCCTCCGTTTCATTCGCCAGAAGTTTAATGCAAACATGCCGTTGACGGATATTGAATGCCACCAAGTTTACGACTTAATTGGGGGCCGGCCTCAACACATCCAGTATGTGGCACAACACCGCGATATATTCAAAGCCTGTCACGAGATAATCGACCGGGAAAAGACATGGTTCCTCAACCAATGTGGTTTACTTGGTATGGACATGGACGATGACGTGATGGAACTGGGTAAGTTCAGTTACTCGGCAATGTTATTGATGAAGGAGTTTGTGAAGATGGACCGGGAGGCTAAGAACCCGATGATGTGTGCTACTCAAGAGGAAATCAAGTACTCGCCTCCCGATGTTTATCCTGATCATCAATTGCCTCAGCTTCCCTTGTGGCGACTGCGTCAAGTGATGACTCGTCCTGATTATATCCAGATTTATGATTCACTCAACATATTCACGTTAGACTCACACTCCAACGTTCGAGCGGATTCAGTGCCGATGATGCGTGCGTTCCACGAGATTGCCTCACAACCAGGGTTTGATGAGCTTCTCGAGGATACCATGGACCGGGTAGGCGACATCGAAGCATTAGGCAGAACTCGTGAAGTTACGCTTAAGGATTTGAACCTCGGTTCCAACTACATTTTCACGCCTACCCCTGATCGGGCAGGCTACGTGATGAATCTCGTCAAAAGCCGAAAGCAAGCCGACGTTCACGGCGATTTCACTGAGGCTAATGAAGAGGAAGACGATGGCGACGACGATCTCATGCTTGAGACGATTGCCATTGGTCGCGACCTAAAGGCTAAAGAATGGCGCAAACGGTGGGTCCGCCTGTACGCCACCAACGACAAGCAAGATCCACGATGAACAAATACACAGAATAAATCATTTACAATTTACACTTCCTATAGTCATTTTCTGTATTTTTTATGATCTATGATTCAGTCGTATTCATAAGGCTGGACTGCGGGATAACAGCCGCACTTCCACAGGGTTCCATCAGATCCGCGAACTGCGCAAGTGATCCTCACCCCTCGTATTTCTCATTTGTATCTACTACCACCAATAATGGCAATTGAGGTCCACATCAAGCACGGCGACGAGGCTCTCCAGAAGAAGGACTACTTGGGGGCGGTGTCTTGCTACAAGAAGGCGCTCCAGGAGAACCCTAAGGCGTTCATGCCCCACTTGAAGCGGGCCACCGCTTATCAAAGACTAGGTGACTACGACAAGGCTCGCCTGGATATCACGGCGGCGTTTGAAGTTGCTGAAGACCGTGGCAAGCGGCTGGACATCGGCTTGTGCTACTTCCGCTTGGGGTTGTTGTACTACTCTGAGAAGAAGTACAAGTTGTCGCAATTGAACTTCCAAAAGGCGAAGGACTACGACTGCACCGAAGCTCTGATTGAAGCGTGGTTAAACAAGGTTGCTTACGACGTGAAGAAGAACCCTCAGCCGGAGGAGGAAGACGAGAGTGACTTGGACGGGCTCGATCTCCACAAATTGTCTGCCACCGAATCCAGCGGCGCCCCTCAGACCGAAGACGCCTCGAAACTGACTTCCGAAGCATCCACTAAGGCCCCTGAAAAGCCCTCATCTACTAGCATTGACGCCATCAACCAGCATGCCCCCATCAAAATGAAAATCAGAACCGACTGGTACCAGTCGAAGGACTCGGTCACCATTGACGTGTTCGCCAAGGGGATCAACAAGGATAAGCTCAACGTTGATATCAAACCTAACCTGCTCCTGGTGCTGTTCCCGCTGCTGGCGTCGACGGAATACCTGTACATTCTTGAACCGCTTCATGCCACTATCGATGCGGAAAAGTCGCTGTACCGGGTCCTTTCCACTAAGCTTGAGATCACCCTTGTGAAGACTGTGGCCGAACAGTGGCCGGCATTGGACCGTGCTGATGATGAGCCTGCAAAGGACGCTTCGGTCCCCTCCTACCCGACGTCGGCGAAGAAGAAGACGAACTGGAACCTGCTTGAACTTGACGACGATGGCGAAGAGCAGAACTCTGACCCTAATGCATTCTTCCAAAAGTTGTACAAGGACTGCGACGAGGACACTCGCCGGGCGATGATGAAGTCGTACATCCAATCGAACGGTACGGTGTTGACGACGTCGTGGGATGAAGCTAAGGAGAAGGAGTTTGAAGTGTCGCCTCCCGAAGGCATGGAAGAGAAGAAGTGGTGACTGAATGAATTGAGTTAGTTTATTGGATAAGTCATGGGATGACTAGTGTTTATAACGTGCAAGCGAACGAATTATGAGTATATCAAAGGGAATAAAAAAACTAGGAAAAGTTTCCGTAAAGATCGTTTCCGATGGTCAACAGTGTTTTATTAAAAAAATTGTCCACATGCTTTACTGGTCGACACTATTAAGGTGCTAGTCGATCATCAAAGGCAGTCGATATGAGAAGTGTAAGTGATTGCCGGACAAGCGTCGGTCTCTAATAAACTAGTAAATCGTTGAATCTAATAATCTTATGCATAAAAATCTATACCTACTCACTATCGGTAGGGTCCCCTTCCTCTTCATCGCCTTCTTCTTCTTCACCACCTTCAAAGTCGCCATCTTGAGGAATCTCCATGCCAATGGCGTATTCGGCACTCTCCAACAACTCTCTCAACAGAGGGTCCATGTCGTCCGTAACCAAGTCAATCGGTTTGCGACCATGCTTATCGGTGATTCTGGGGTCGGCACCAGCGTCCAACATGTTATCACAGATGAATTTGCCGTGGTCGAACTCCTCAGCACAGTATTTAACGATCACATGGAGAGGAGTTTGGCCCTCACGGTTTTGCGGGTCAATCTCAACACCTTCGACGTCGAGGACAATGTCGATAAACTCCCAGTTACCCGAGTGGCATGCCAAGTGAAGCGACAGGTTGTCGGTTATTTGTTCGGTGGTGGAGTTGATGAGATCGGCCAACTTGGGTTCGTCATTGATCTTGGCTCTGATGTCGAGGAGCAACTCAGTGTTATTCCGACGGCCGGCCTCTAAGAGTTGTTCTCCAAACGACGCCATTAGCTATATGGGTTAGTACTGTGAGTATGGAAGGGATACCGGCTGATATACAAGCCGGTATGGAACCGTTATGAACGTACCTTTTAGTCACTGGATCAGATCGATTTGTGCGCGAATTACACCGCACCGACGGTGGGCTATGGCGAGACTGGCCTGACCACTGAAAAATTGCTGATGCTCAGGAACACTGGACCACCCCATCTTTCATCAGTAACAAAGATGGGGTGGTGGTATAGGGGGTGACGCCCGAAACATGTGCACCCCTGTCTGACCACGATACCTTCGCATACTCTGAAACACCTCCTTCAAACGAAGTATATTAGTCGCCACGAGCACCGTAGCCATTGTAACAATCAAAATGAAACTTTATTTTGCTGACGCCGATGATACCCATCGGGCGTTTGTGGTTGGATCCACTGGGACTACCAACTCTATCACCCGACAAGATCGCAAAACGTTTCTCAGATATAGAATCCCCGATGTCGCCAATCAATTGGCAAACTATCCAAAAGGAATCCGGTACTCGGCCAATGTGCTCTATGGGCTTCTGAAAATTCATACTCTACAAGTTACGCAGCTACTTGATGATACCGTACACCAGATGAGACATCTCAAGTTCAATACTCATGGAAAAGGCCACCCCGCTTTAGCGTTAATTGACGTCAAACTGGGTAAACCTAGTCAGCCCTACCGAGAAGTTAGCAAAGGCCAATTCTTTGACAACAATTCGATATGTCTACCAAGGTTGAGATTCATTTCGTTGCATGAGCTGCCATTTCTCGAGGACTCTCAATTGGTTACGAATAGTGAGACATCTCAAGTTACTTTGACCGAAACTGCCTACGATGAGACTCACAATGAGATCACGGAAAACTCGGTGCAGCTTGACTTCGATTTTGATGCTCCTGACCCTATCGAGTTCGATATTATTGACCCCGCCCCTCCCCTTGAAGAAGCTCAGGTATCGAAAAACGTGGGCGACATTACTACTGACCCGCATTTCCAAGCGTCAACTCAATTAACATTGAGACACTCCCGCAGTCGGTTATTTGATGAACGTAGCGTAAAACGCCAGCGAGTGATGGTTGATGCCGAAACACAATTAGACTTATCATTGTTTTGGTCTACTCAAGTTCAACGTGGGTTGCTGAAGACGGTATCGGCTAGGTTGCAAGAGCTCGCCCATGTTTGGACTCACTCCACATTTAATCCTGCTCGTATGGCTAAATGTGTTAATCACGCAGCCACCACAGCAGCGTCAGACACGGTGGCTCACTTTGCCCGGGTGGAGGAAACGGAAACGGGGATGGGTGACGATGATGACACCCCTGGCTACGATGGTGTCGATATCAATGATGATATCGCCGGTGGGTGGGACTACGATGATGGCTACGACGACGACAATGCCGCTGGCGGCATCGGCGGCACTGCGCCTGAGGTTACTGCGTCACTGAGCATGGATGCGATGGTACCAGGGGTAAACAAACCTTTCCGCGAGTATATGCACGCTGAGCTTGTGCATGGCGAGCGAAGTTTTCTGGATATTTTTCCCCCAGGTGAAATTACTAAACAGATAGCGGCGGTGTCGTTTTTCGCGGGCTTGGCGCTTGCGTCGAACGGCACCATTACGATGAGACAGCCGCAGGGAATACGCGATCCGTTTGGTACGATTACGTTGGGGTTACCGTAAATGTCGCAAAGAAAAATATAGCACATTAAATTAAAGAAATTATTGGTCGTGTCTGGCGAACTCTTGCTCGTGGTCAGCATCGATGGGTTCTTCGTCGAGGTCGTGGTGTTGGTGATCGACAATGCCTTCATCGTCGTAGTCTTCTTGGTGCAACGACAACGTGGGCTTGACGGCGGCCGAGTCCAACGTCCACGACGCCAACGCGTTTTCAGCGTCGATGATGATTTGCTTCGAAGCGTCGTAGCCGTCGTAGGCGGGTCTGGTTTCACCGGGAGTCACCGACGAGTCGTCCAACAATTCCAAGAGAGCCTTACCGTAACCAGCGATAAGGGCGTACTTTTCCGCCAATTCCCGGATCGAGTCGAACAAGTAGTTGAACGACGCCTTCAACTTTTCCCGGGTGATGTTCAGCAATTGCGCTTCGGCCACCAACGACTCGGCTTCAGCTCTGACCAACTCTTGTTCCAACACGTTGATCTTGGGCGACTGGGGGTCCTTGTACTTCAAGTGGGCGATTTCGTCGGTGATCTTTTGCTTTCTGTCTCTCGACGGTTGCACCGAGGCTTCAATGTCTCTGATTGACTTCATCGTCACCCGGTACAAGTCGTACTTGTCGACGAACTGGTCTTCCAACTCACCCAATTCGAACAACAACACCCCCAACTTGTCGGTGACGTCGGAGACGTCGGCGTCGTTGCCTTCACCCCAGAGGGACAACTGGCGCGCCACCTCGCGGCGTTCGCGGGCGGTGAGCTCCATGCCGTGCATCACCCCCTTTTCCATCTTGATGAGCTTGGTCAAGTTTCTCAGCAACTCGGGACCCAGGGCACCGGCAATCTGCTTTCTGAAAGTGGACGAGATACCGGTGGAGCCAAAGTAGCGGCCCTTGGTCGAC